CTGATAACATTCAGCAAGAGTCCCTCAGGGGTGAGTCGCAGTGGCTAGAAAGATTTATTGTGACCATACCCTAAGAGTGCTGTCAAAATGTTAAGCGACTTGATTTAGATTTACAAACAAGCCCATATTAAATGAGAAGTTTAAGTAGACAAACTTAAGGATTTCTGAAACAGTCCCCAGGAACAGCCCACTACTGATGACTACAGCTATTTATATTTGTAATACATCTATTTCATGCTTAATAACAGTGGCGTGGAATCAATTATCCTAGCTACTATCAGACATCACGACAATACCCATTCAAGTTCATATTACCAGACTACAGACAGAAATAAGTAAATAATTAAAGAACATCAGATAATCTCCAGATAGTGTGCTGTAGTTCAGTAACACAGAAAATTCATATCCAATCAAGCCGATCATTAGGTTCAAGAAATCCCAAGATGGCTTTCAAGTGGAGAGGGTCAGGTAAGGTGTCCTGGTATTGCATGACATCACTTCAAGACACAATGAATGAGAAAAATAAGGCGTAAAGTATGACATATCAGTCCAGACAAGTATAAATTGGTATAAATTAATAACAGAACTGTCACTACAGATGGTACACATGTATGTAGTAATAATTCACATTGACTTCTGTAGGAGCACACTCCCAATGAAACTGTAATTAGTTCTACAAAGATTCAATCCAACTCCATGGAGACTCTCGCTGAATGCAGTCAGATTAACTGAATGACACGCCTCCTCTAGGAGGCAGTGTGTGCTCACTTTTGGAAGCTTTTTTTTTTATTTACGATTCATTTTGAGTGAGACCGAAACATATCAGTCTGTACAAATTACATTTGTGAGAGCGACAGTAGCTTTGTTATTACATAAGAGAGTCACCATAAGAGATCTCTTGCACTGACCAAGAGCAAAACAGGTTCCTACCTCAACCATTCAAGCTGTATAAATATCTCCAAGTGACAATGAGATGTAAATACTCAAACTGACCATCCCTTCCCCCCCTTCCACACACAAACACACAACCCCTTTCTCCCCACCCCCACCACAACTCCCCTCCCAACTCCACCCTTCAGACCACCACTCTTACCTTCAGAAGACATGGGTATTCCTAGTTCCTCACAACTGCCTGTCCTTCACATCTCAGTATATACCACAGACACACAAATACCATTAAAGATCAATCAAAGATGCGTCAAGCGTTTATTATAAAACTTTTCCCACCACATGACTCCGTCGTTTTAACAGAGAGGGTGTCACAGCTCCTGAGGCTAGATTTACTACAGACACATCCGATTCCTTTTTCTCCAATCACAGGAATTTTCATCTCGCTGAAGACTGTCCAATGTCCAATAAGATGTTTTACTTTGTTAGCTGATCCACGACAATGCAGTTGTATTAAAAAGTTTCAAAGACATAGAGGAAAATTACTGGTCTTCTGATTACAGAGTTTGTCTGAGCAGTAATGAGCATCATGTAACAAATATACTTCCTTTGCATCTATGCAAGTATTTTATAGAGAAAAAAATTTAATGAAATATTTTACAGAAAAAATAAATAAGTAAATATGATAAACAGCAAAGCAAGACATTTTGAGTGTTATACAACAATACTGCAAGCCATATCAATAAAAAAACAACTTAGCAAGGACCATGGGCTTTTACTCCAAAAATTATTTAATATACACTATCCTCGAAGCACTGCCTACATTAGGACAGAGAATTGATACATCAGAGGTCTGCGAATGGACAAGTTAAATTTTTTCCCTGGGCAGTTTTCTTCCTCCTGCTTAATTGACGGATTGCTTAATTCTCCCTCCCTAACACTATCAAAGCTCCCTAAAGATGAGTTGTCTTCAAAGGCAATTTTCTCTGACATGTAAATTGAGTTGCTGACTTGGATTTGAGGATTTAGAGTACAACCAGAGCTGTCAGTATAAAAGTCTCATCAGAAAATGCTGCAATGACTGATTTATGGTTCTTTATGAAAAATAATGTGAAATCTGAATTTTCTCATCAAAATGTCATTGCAAAATAACATTATTTAAAACAATGACAATACATAATGGCAATTGTCCAAATCACCTTTTTTTTTTTTACCTTCTCACATTTTTCTGTAATAACCCTAATCCACAAGTGACTCAAGACAAGGCATTCTAGAAGGGCGCCACTGTTGAGCTGCCTACAGCTTTTGTACTGCTGCTGAATTATCTTAGTTTTCAGAATAAGTTTTTACTGTGGAGTTTCCAATTTTAGTTGATGGTGTTTTTAAAGGTGTCAGGACTACTGAAAAAACTGGTTTGAACTTTTAACTCCTATCAGATCACTTCGATCTAGTGGACAACTTCAACTTAAGCGAAAAGACACTAAAAAGACTCTTAAGACATATGGACAAAGAAGTTTCGAGATTTGTGCACCGATTTTATGGTCTAATTTTATCACAAGATCTAATGTGTCTCTGGATGACTCATATTACTGTTTTAAGAAGAATTTAAAAACTTTTTTATTTAAAGAATACTTTAATTTATAGCATCTTTTTAGTTTTTAAAATTTTTAAATATCCTGTTTTTAGTCTATACTGGCTTTAATTTATCTGTGGAGTTTATATTTTTTATGTAAACAGCGCTGAGACGCATGTGTAGCGCGGTTTTTAAAGAAGTGTTTTATTATTATTATTATTATTATTCTACAACCAGAATCTCTTTTCACTCAGTTGTACACAAAGGTACCAACACAAATTGTAGGGGAGATAAGCTGGTATCCTATCAAGAATGTATGTATTGCCAAATATGATTAATCAAAAATGTCCATAATCGGCCCAGGAAAATACCCCCTAACATCATCCAAACTGATATGCAAACTTAGTTTTTGGCACCTTTGATTGTCTGAAAGTTTGCAAGTAACACATTTTTGATTATATGAATGCTCTCAGATACTTCACTCCATAAAAATCAGAAATTAGCACCAGACTATCTTAAGCTTATTAATGGATTGCCTCTTTGTAGTACTAACTCTGGGGGCACAGTCACCCAGTTCATTTAATTTATTTTAGAGAGAATTTACGTCATACCAGCGTAGTGAAAGTCAAGCTATCATCTTGTGAAATCCACAATGAAAATACAGACATGATAATCTTCCAAATCTATTGAAAACTTCACAATAGATGTCTGAGACATTTCTGTTTGAAAAGTCAACATCAAGTGGCAAAATTGCACTTAGTGTATCTTCAGAAACATCTCAAATAGCTGCAATCAAGTTTGAAAGGCAGACATGCCATCTTTATTGATTGGCAGAAAGGGACAGCTGCAACGATTCTCAAGATTCATCTTCCTTCCCGTATCTTCCAATAGAGACAAAAGTGAGATCTTCAAAGACAACACAATGAAGCCTTGTTATAGAACAAATCTTATTAGGTCACATTCAGACTGGGATCACTAGAGATCAGAAATGTGCTTGAAACATGTGATTATAAAAACTGATTGGTCATCGTTCAGTGACAATCCTATGGATATTACAAAGAATCTATTTCTTTCCATTACAAAAATTGAGAATAATAAGACAAAGAAATTGTTGCACCTCTGCAGAATAAGCAACAATTATCTACACAATTACAATTATTACAGTAATATATTAATGTGATAATATTTTAGTACAGATATCTGAAAAGTTTGTTTGGTTCATGTCAGATTATTTTTACTTTTTTATGTCACTTTTTAATAGCACTTGAGTGCTGCAGAAAACTTCATCTCAAATACTCAGGTATCCATAATGATAAAAATAATCTTGTGCAAATCTGCAAACAATGGCTATAATAATGTTCAGTGAATGGCTTTTCTCTCCCCACTGTAGTAATATGGAATACAAAACACAGAAACTGTTCTTCTTCCTATTGCAACAATAAACAGTGAATTAGTGCATATTACTTGATAAAAATAATATTGGCCTGACCCTCACTCCTCTGCTGCTGCTGCCACCTGGTCCTGAATAAATAAACATCTATGAAATCAATTGGTACAGAGGGAATAATGAGTGCCACTTCTACACATTTCATTTCAGTAACTAAACTCTTTTGATTGTTATCATCAAGTACTTGGACTAAAAAAGGCCAGGTGGAATTGTATTCGCTTCCCATTCATGTTCTCTCATGGTTTTTCTTATTATGAAGAGGCTACATCAAAACCCCTATAGAAACATTTTCAATGGAAATTATGTATAAAACCAGGTTAATCTTTACACATAGAAAGTAGATCTATATTTTAAGCCCATCACCAATTACCATAACTTTGCATTCATTAGAATGAAATATGTACTTCCAATATAGAGATGTTACAAGCTGTGTTATAAGGGAATGTGTTGGATATGAATGTGTTAGCTGTGATTGCTCTGAGTGCAATTGTGGTGAAGTACCTCCCATTGCGTTAGGTGTGCCAAAGGACACAATCTGTCAAATACGGATGTGGTAGGTGTGACATTTAGATCAAGAAACACTGACATTTCATGCAACATGAAATCTGGAACATCCATGTGCTTCCAGGGAGAAAATACCCAAGTGAACATTTATAATGCAAAAACAGCTGGTAAAAAAACAAAATTACAAAAAAAAAAAAAAAAAAAAAGAAAATATTCAAAAACTTGTAATATTTTTGTTCAATCAATAACCTGTATTTTATAAATTTGGTGAAAACTGTTGAAAAAACATCATAAGTTTAAAACAAACTCAAGTGGAAACATTCACAACATACGCTGGGTTTCCAAAATTTTTCTTAAAAAAAAAAGAAAAGAAAAAAAAAAGCTACATGTACATCTCCTTCAAAGTGAATAACACTGCAAGAGCCACATGTACCTAATGTATAAAAAATGTATATAAAAAAGATAAACATAGAAAACACTGACATCTGCCCACATCACAACCATGCATGGCTTGTGCAAGTACATTACAAATGGTATTTTATATGTATATATATACACACTGTGAGGGGAAATACCCATTCTACTTACCCATGTTCTCTGCATTTTTAACTTAAAATCCAAAGAGACAAAGAAAATCAAATTGCACATCTATGATATTTTTAAAGATAAATAAATAAAAATAGTAAAATCAAATTTGTTCAGAGTACATACAGGGGTGGTAAGGCTCATCATGACCTTTTTAAAAACCTAACTCTACGATCAATCTCGTTCAGTTTTGTTAATAATAATAATAATAATAATAATAATAATAATAATAATAGCAATGAAGACTTACCAGATGAAGTATACTCATCCATATAGTCCATGCCGTTGGCAGCAGGGTTTGGGTCATTGTAAAAGTCGACCCATTTACTGCTAGACACGGCAGCCAAGACAGCGCCCTGGAATTAATTTTTAATACATTTGCAATGAATTAAGTATTATCCTCCAAGTGTATCAGAAATACTTAGGACAGCTACCCATAATGCTGTAGGAATTCTAAGCAGTACTACTTTCATCGTAAGTAATGCTGGATAAAAAAAATCCAATGTTGCAACAGCTGTAAAAGATAAAAATGGACTTGATAATCTGTGATGTTTACTATGAAGCATTTTGCTAATTCAAAATCCAAATCACTTTTAAACAAAATTCTTGATTCTTTTTAACCTGAATATATGGAACTAGTAAAACCTAAATCTATTAAAATAAATAAAAAATATGGGATGATATAAATTACAACAGTTTTGCTTTCCAAAAGAGCCTGAATTTTTTCAAAATCAGAATACTTACCTTAAGTTTTCTCCTAGCATTAAATCTCTTCATTTCCTCCACTGTTTCAGCTAAATGCAGTCTTGGCGCTTTCCCTCTTTCCTACAACACCAAAAACAAAGAAATCACCCCACTAAAACAACCACATTAAATGATAACAATACATGGTGCTTTCTCTCTTTCCTACAACACCAAAAACAAAGAAATCACCCCACTAAAACAGCGACATTAAATGATAACAATCTAGCAGGGCAGGATATGTGCTATTGAGCTGGGTTTCCCTGCTTTAATCATTGAAAAACAGACATCCTTGTAAATAAGACTTTGAACCTGTATTTAATGTGTAATACAAGGGCAATAACCATGGGAAACAAATGCACTTTAAACTTAAAACTGCAGCCTTGAAGTTTATGAAATTAATAATGACCTCATTACCAATTGACAGCACAATGCTCTGGAACACCTGGTTTGAGTTAAGACACATTAGTGTACACTTAATAATGGAAATTCAATATGACACATGGGTTGCTGTGCACTTTGGCACAGCTGTTCTGTTAAAACTAATTGCGAATTGATCTGTGTCACTGTGGAAATCTAACATGACAGCCGACTCACATGAAATTGCGTTAGGTGAGAAAAACTACTCATTCAGCTCAACTGCTGCATCAACTCACAGAGATGATTTTATCAATTATATATCATGCATGCTAAATGGTAGAATGAAGTCTTCAGCTGAGATATTCCCATTAGTGTATCAGCTTACAAGCATGAAACTTTGAATGCTAATCAATCAGTGTGAAAAAAGTGTGTGTGTGTGTGTATGTGCGTGTGTGTGTGTGTGTGTGTGTGTTGTACAGTACCTTTATCCAGGGGTGGTTCAGTGCCTCTTCTATGGTGTAGCGATGATCTGGGTCCAACTCCAGAAGTCTGTACAATAAATCCTTGGCGTCCTCGGAAATAAACTGCCAGATTTTAGGTTTCATCTGCAAACATACAAATATATATTATTGCTCTCTCTCTCTCTCTCTCTCTCTCTCACACACACACACACACACACACACACACACACACGCACTAAATTATGAAAAAATTATTTTAAAAATATAGCTTTTTGAGTGGACATGTTAGTCTCAAAATGCAACCAAATAATGAGCAGTGCAGACCATTTTTATCAATCTACACATATATTCTTTCTTAGAATAGCATTCTGAACTCTGTCAAATATCCAACAAAATGTCTTCCCACTTACATGCATCCTTCCATTCACAATATTCTCAAACAGGTGCTCCCTGGTGCCGTAGAAAGGCAGTGACCCACTGAGTAGAATATACATAAGAATTCCGCCTCCCCACGCGTCCACGGGTTTCCCATAAGGCTCCCTCTTCACCACCTCGGGGGACATGAAGTGCGGGGTGCCGATACGACCTGGAAAGTAGACCAAATGTGAAATAATACACCTGTATGATACACCTGTGTGTCACCTGAGGGTTATATGCCAGAACACCTCCACTGTTAGAGAGAAGTATGATGTGACAGTGTATTTTTTGACATACGTACTTAGAGATAGTACTAGTATTTCACTGCAAAACACCTTTACACTGAAAGCTGCTTATATCAGCACAGTCAAATACTATGGTGAAGCTACTTCCCAAACCAAAAGCCAGCTCTCAAGACACTGCAATGATCAGGTTCAAATTTGTTCTTCTGCCTGACAATAAATACATAAATTTTATCATCAGGGGCAGATTGAGGCCATCTTCCAGGTCTTCCAGAAGACAATCAGCATTTTTCAAGTTTAGGTTGACCAGCATCTAATTTTTTTTCTGTTGGAAGATGAAGGATAACTTGGAAGACTGTCAGAAAATATCTCTGGATCTGCCCCTGAATTCATTCCCATATATTTTTACTTAACTGAAAGTTCTGAATAGTCAGTGAAATGTTCAGACAGGCAGTAGTTGATCTGCACTATTTCATCATAACTCTGTCAATAACTGATTGTTTTTAAGAAGAATGTTTTTAACACAAGACCCAAAAATAATTAATAATAAAAGAGTCAAGTCCAGTCATAAAGAGAGTTTACAATCAAAGACAATCAAGGTAAAAGCATGATATTTATACTGCTATATGGCCCATTCCAGACAAGACTTTAAGTTAGTTATGTTGTCAGAGCACTTATTGCATTTTGTTATTAAGGCTAATCAATCTCATTAACTTTATATTCCCTGTCAAAATTGACAGTTAGTATAACAATTTCTTACTCCAGAACATTCACAAGTAGCCGTGTGGTGCATACAATGACTTCAATCACTTCTCTGATGGCAATTTTTATCTAAATTGGCCATTTCGCTCTCCTGCGCTTTCTGAAAACACCCAACTGCCATCAGAGGCACGCTCCTTTAGACAATTACTAAGTAGCAGTATATGGCACTTGTTCTTATTCAGTTAAGTGGTTTTTGGACATATTTGCCTGGCCTTTTCAGTGTAAACAGCGAGTAAGTGATGATATGATTATGGAGCAAATCAATAGAATAGGACCGAGTTTACACTAGGAAGAGAATGATTGAAGTTGAATGTATTGGTGTGAACCAGGTTTTGGCTACTCTCTCCATGGTTTTGATTTTAAAAAGAATTTAAAACTTCAATGAAGCGTATGGTGTGATCACAATCACCTTAAGTTACATCTGAGAACAGCAGTTATAACCACAACCAAAACCAGGTTTAACAGTTCATCTCGCTCTTTCTTTTACACACACACAGATAGACATACAAGCACGCACACATGCACGCACGCACGCACACACACACACACACACACACACACCTCCAAACACTAAAGGCTTCCCATAAAGACGCAGACATTTACTACAAATACAAATCGCCATGATAACTCCCAGGATTTGTCGTAACAAGGGGCTCTGTTCACAGCACTGAATCAGATGCATAACCATTAGGGGCTAGTGTGAACGCGGCTGGGATTATGGTCTGTGGGAGTGCAGTAAGTGAACTGTGTGCTGGCGAGAAATATTCTGTGATCAGACTTTATGATTGCTTGAGAAAGGCAAAACAGTCCATTAAATTAAAAGAAAATGTTCCATGCGAGGCTTCCTGAATAGTTGAGAATTTTTTGCTGCATTGACATACGCTTTGGTTTATGAAATCATAACATGCTTTTTACTGAATAAGTGTGAAACAAAACAGCAATGAGAGAGAGAGAGAACACATGGACACATGAAAGACACATGGACAGAATGTTAAAGACCGCTTCAACGACCTTCACTTTCTTTCAATAAAGTAAAGAAACTGCATAATTATACTAATTATATTTGCAGTTCTCAGAAAAACACTGGTATACATTTTTATATATGTAATAATCAACCTAATAATCAACTTTAGTTAATATTTAAAGATCAAATGTCAAGTCTGCTAAAAAATGGAAGTGCTTGTTTAGCAAACCAAGAAAAACACTGCATATTGTTAAATTAAATAGATAATATCAAGCTCTTCACTCTAAATAATGAAATATCAAATTAAGTGGTCTCAAGATCCAAAACCATGCATGTAAGACAAATAAGTAATATTAAAACACTCCAAGACCTTTATAACATCTAAAAAATGGGTAATATCATTAGTAAATAATAAAAATGAAAATAAAAAATCACTTTCACTTCTTAATCCACTTACTGTCATGCGCAAACAAGCTTTTTTCAACTGCAATAAAACCATTTTTACAAAAATGAAAAAGACACAATACCTATAAATATATATATAAGAATTAGCAGAATAAGGAAAACTAGTTTTCACACACCTAAGAATGAGGATGCATTAATCATGAAAAGGTACGAATTGTGATCAATAAAATTCAATCCTCATACTTCCCACATCCAGGTCAAAAGCCTAAAAGCTGTTGATAATACTGATTTTAAAACTCATGCATACCTAATATCATTTACTCATAAAACAAGCTTCTTACACTGGCAATAACACCGTACATACATATGTCCTTAGGGCAACCCAAATCAAATAATTCAAACTAAGTGTAAAAACTACCATAATTGCTCATAAATACATATAAAATTGATTGGTTTTCCTTCTCAAAATGTTTTTTGAGTAGTTTCTGATTAACATTAATTCAGGTCCCTAAAAGGAAATCAGGCTGGTGCCGAAAAGCAATTCTGAGAGTAACTACAAATAGTATCCTTAAAAGTAATCAAGGATAGATATCAGTTAAAGTATGGGGTATGAAATTTGTGAGCAATTAGAAAATATTCTAATCACTTGAACAAATATCCTAAAAAACTTACAAGTTTGTCGTAAACAAACAAAGATGGAACAAATTTTACCAATTATGATAATAAATAAAACATGCCCACACAAACAGGTCACAATTATACCCAAAATAGGCCTCAATGATCGAACTTTTTAGTATATATCTCACCTCCGGATATCTTTCCAGACTCTGGAAGCTGTATTGCGACACCAAATCCACCAATTTTTACAGGAGCGGAATTCTCCTTGGAAGCCAATAGAACACAATGGGGTTTCATGTCGCGATGGATGACGTCATTTTCATGACAGTAACGTAAGGCCTCTAAAATTTGTCGGAGGTAGTGACTGAAAATTTAGACATTATAAAATAAATGAGAGATCACTGTAAGTTGTACTGAGTAAGTAATGACTATTTTTTGCTTTGCAGATTTAATTTCATGCACCACTAAACCTCAATATTCAAACACATAAATATCCTTTAACTTTGATTAATATGTAAAAATAAAAGGACACTGGTATCTTAACTGACATCAAATGGAGCAATTTAATATCAAACAGCAAAACATTATCTTAAATTGTTTCTGGATATTACAAGGTATATGGGGTGCAAAAATGAGAAAAGATGGCTTTCATTAACAGACCGACTCTACATCTGGTTACCTGGCAACAGCTTCACTGTAGACAAACCCCGCAGAAGCTCTCTTCACAATCTCAAAGCACAGGTCTGCGCCGTCCATACTGAAAATAATACACAAATGTTAGACTGCAGAACAAGATATAGGCAATGTAATTAAAAGGGTGTCTATAATATTCAGAATATTCCTTAAATTAAATCGTGTTTCCAGTGAAAAATGTGCAGACCTAGCTTGATAAATGGATCATCTCAGCACACCCTGGGGTTGCGACCTCTCAGCTTAGGAAGTTTGGCTAATGGCATGAGACAAACCTTGATTACATAGTTGTGATTGGTATCTGCGGTGAGCTATGGCAGCCAAAAGGGCAAAAATTCATGTCCTCGTTCAGTGCCAGTGAATCGACGAAACATAAATGAATCGACGACATGATTTTTTGCCCTTTTGGCCGCCCATAGTGAGCCTATCACACTCAGGTACTCAGTAACAAATATACCAGAGTTTAGTTGTATACTCAGACAGGTCCGTCCAAAAGTGTCAACCTTAAAAGGTTAACGCACAAAGGTCAACAAACAAGGGTAGTCCTTGCTAGAAAGGTCAACCCAGAAAGGTGAAACTAGCTAAAAAGGTCAACTCATCAAGGTCAACCAACAAAGGTCAGCCTTGCTAGAAAGGTCAACCTAGGTAAAGGTCAACTTAGGTACAAAGGTCAACCTGGGTACAAAGGTTTACCATGACAAATCAACCTATTTTGACTCATGTCTGGCTGTGAACGTCACACCTGATTTTCCAAGAATCCATAGATTTAGTAGTGATACAACACTGCCCAAAGCTTGTTTATAGGAACAGGCGAAGAAGTAAAATGTAATGCATACAATATGACCCACAGAAAAAAATGTTGACAGGATTTACATGGAAACGATAAAAATCAGAACAACTGTAATCATATAATTGATTTCTTGGAAGCTTTCATTTAACTGTAATTAATACCTTGCATGGGTATTGTTCATTATATATTAAATAAACAGAATAAAAATTATTAATGCTATTTTTAATCATACCTAAGACATTTTGTTCTTGATACAGATTTACCTAGAAAACAATGCACACAAGTACAAAGAAGAAAAAAAAGAAAAAAAAAAGAAAAAAATGTAAATCAATAACCATGAGGAAAGTTCAGCTCAGTAACCATGAAGTAATAACGACAAAGCATACGCTAATTATGATAAACTGAGTTTCGATGCAAGGCATCTTTCGTGCTGCCAGATGATCAATCTGTGCTTAAATTCAATTAACTCTGCCATCTGGATACAAGCCAAATATTAAATAATCTTACATCAAGCGACAAAATGGTGATGAAATATTCCTTGATAAATCCTACTTTACTGCTTCAGAATTGATGTTCTCTCTCTCTCTCTCTCACACACACACACACACACACACACACACACACACACACATGTAAGGATCCCCTTATAAATTCATACATTCTACTGGAAATAAACTGCTACATTCTGGAACTCTCTGATCACGTTACTTGTACCGTTTTCCATTCCAACCACCAGGGACTTGTCCGAACACGCAAATCTACTCCAAACTGTGGCAAAAAAATGAAGCTTTCTACCATCCAATTATTAGATAATTGATAACAGTACTGTACCAGTTACGATGCAATATACTAACTGTTGCTAGCTTATATTGAGAAATTTCCTTAAAACTGATGAAAGTGAAAAAAAAACCCACCATATTTAGTCAATAAAATGATGTAAAACTTTCGTGGTTATGTCAGGGCTTTTGTATTTTACATGATGTTTGGATGCCCTTAAAGACACAGAATCAATTTTTTCCCTGTATGGTGATTTAGCCGTGCAAAATATCCCGTTTCACAATAGACTCATTTCTGCAAATGGTAACACAGAATTTATGACACTGACAATGGACTGTAGATATGCTGCCATCTATATTATAGTAATAATAATAATAATGAAAAATGGATATACGATGTATTATTTGTTCATATGGCTAGATTGCCTTTAAGACAGAGGACCAACCAAAGAAAGATTCAGCTGTAGGACAAACAAAGGAGAAAAATATCAGCCATAAAAAGATATTTGACAAGGCAAAAAGACAGAAATCCAGACAGAAAGTATACCAGTGTACCAGCTACAGAAAGATTCACAATTGGATAGAGAGACAAACAGACAAGCTGACAGACAGACAAGCACTTGTTGTACGCTGAAATAACTAAAATTTAATTTAATAACATACTAAAAAAGTTTATGTTTCTTCAGCTACATGGTTTATTTCTGTATGGATCCCATGCTTCATCGTCTCAGAGCAGCTGATGATTAAACTATTATTTTTCAACTTTCCTTCTTCACAAACACTCTATATTTCCATACAAAATACCTTTAAGTTTTATCCAGGGAAAAGATTACCCTGGGAGCCAAATAGATTTTTACTTGAGGTTAAACCGCAGAAGCTCTGAGGCTTTCTTCAGCTTCATAAAACTTTAATTTCCTTCATCCAAAAAGTAATTATTAGCAGAATATTTGAACTACCTGAGGATAGTGAATAGAGGATTTCATCTACGCATATTTCCAATTTCTTTAGTAAAGTCCCTGTTAATTATAGAATGAATGATGTGCGATGCCTAGAAATAAAAACATAATTACAAAGGTCATCTCACTGCTTTTCCTCATTTTGCTAGATTTCATAAGGCCAAGTTCCCTTAATTGCAATTCATTTTAGTCCCATAAAGGATAGCACAAAGAGAAGATACAGAATCTAGATTTTTTTCCATTTAGGAATACTTTAAGTTCCAATAAAGATCACAGTGAAAATGCCATTATGTAGTTCTAACCAACCAAAGCTGACCAACTTTCTTTTAGACATGTTTCTATCCTGGGTGGGTTGGTATATCTGAGGCTACATTCAGAACAGTGGACTTACTAATAAGAGGGTCAAATATGGCAACCCACTACTAAGCTTGCCATCTAATCCTCTAATAAACACTGAATAGATTCCCAGTGGGAACATATTCAAGTGGGCCAGCCATATTTGACCCTAGGACTAGTAAGCCACTGTTCTGAATGCGGCCTCAGTATCAAATCTCACCAGCTTGTAGGCTGTAAAACCACAGTACAATCACCAAAGGTAGCAAATCTATCAAATTTCTCTGTTAGTAAAAAAGCAAATCCTTTCTTAAGAAACTAAATGCATTCTCCACGGATACCCAGCATTCCATTTTTACCCTTCAACAAAAGACTTTGGTAAGAAATATTTAGAAATAATTTATTTTTCCATTTTAATTAGAGAAAATACAATGAAAACCCTATTTCAGGAGTGTCTATTCTCTCCCTCTCCTCCAATGTAATGGTGCCAAGTCTGATACCATTAAATTGATTATGACATGAGCTAATCAAAAAAGTTTGATTTGTTCATTACTTTGTTAGATAGACTCCGGCAGACTGTATTAACATGACTTAATCAGATATCTCAAAAATAATGAGCACAGATCAGTCAATACTCTTCAAACAATCCACCTGTTCATATTACTACTTTTTAAGTACAAAGAGAAAGGAACAGGCAATGGGACATGATGGCAACCCCTTTTTATCATATTCTGAACATATCACACGAAATGCCATATCTGTCTCAACTTTCCTCTTGCAATTTAAAAAAATAATAAACACTCATAAGAGATAAGCACAGCATTTCTTTTAAAGACTTACCAATCTTCTTTTCCATTTCGTGTAATCACAATTGAAACTTTACCACACATTTTGGCAGTCCAGTTGGTATTCAAGTTCCAAAACAAAATCCTAAAACTAACAACTACATGTGATGACTCCTCCAATCCTCAGTGTGTCACTTGGCATATACCAACTCGTTTTTATCTATAGCCAATCAACTCCATGGTTTACGATTCCTTTCACTATAAAAACTGAACTGATTCTTTGCTCAGGTGGATGAAGTTTCCAGACTGACAGCTTCTATCAGCATCTCGCTCTTAATATATCTGTCAAATCGTCAATGATACCAAGCCTGACTATGACATCCATCGTGACAATGACATCCACCTTGAGGTAAAAATTGAGAACCACCAATTCTAAGTATCCAGCTATTCAGTAGCATGCAATGAAAAACCAAATAAAAACAACTCCCTTTCTCTGTATTTCTTTCTCTCCTTCTCTTAACGCCGACCTTGATTCACAGACTGAATGGCGCCCTTCTTCCTGGCTTAATAAATGGCAGAATTCTCGTTAAAATTGGTTTCTTTCATGCAAGAATCTCATAATAGCTGTAGTGCAAGACACTAATGGTTGGTTCTACCCCTTGCATTGTGTTCTCGTGTGTTTAAAAAGAAATAACAAAACAACCTTCCTTGACGAAAACTGGGCCAATCATATTGCACAACAGTTTCGTGGCTATGTTTTAAGAGAAAGAGCATCAGCCATGCTGGGCCACATCTATATCATGAAATATAAAACTTGTAATTTATGCAACATATTAAAGGGATAACAAGTGTCCATATGAGATTCATGCTTAATAAATACTCTATATACCACTATTAGATAATATAATTAATTCCATTTTACAACCAAAACAGCAGTTATCGCATTTATTCTGGAATATGTGATTGCTATCATACCATGTGGGCCTGCATAAATGGCTATATCTCCTTAGAGACTCTTAAGAGATTATAACCAAAAAAAAAAAAAAGGACTAACTCTGAATGTTGGTATGGATTCATTTACCATTGGTAAGCATGGGAAATGACAATTTTTGACCAAAATTAGCTCGATGGCATTTAATGTCACAGGACACATTTTGGACCCTTTTCTTTAGTCTTGTTTAGTAATGAACTGCGGATTCAAAAAATGTAAAGTTTGGCATACAATACCCAAAAAAACCCCAAATCTGCCAAAATTTTAAAGCAATTTTTTTTTTTCAAATCTGTAACGATCAAAAAAATTACATTCCCAATCCATTTTATAATGTACCTTCAGCACCATATTATACAATGATACACAAGTTACCATGACAACCTTTGAAAATATTTACAAACTTCTTGATATCAGTCAGCTTGAATTAGAATCTGTGAACCACCTCTTGCAACAAGTGTCCCCTGTGGAACAAAACCACTCAATAAGTAGACGTAATTCTTGGTATTTGTCATAATCCAGAATAATTTATACACATAATCTACAATTCATGTAAGCATACAAACGTATGTCACTTCTAATGTTTAATTTAATCATGGTGTCGACTGAATATATACCTTACAGCATTTCGATTTAGAGGCCAAATGTTGTAAGGAAAGGTACTGATTCAAAGCTTTGAGGTAATATGAATGTTGAGAAAAAATCAGTTAACAAACTGGCTATTGTTTAGGAAAATTGAAAATTAGAAGTTTGGTGGGATTTCTCTTTTGTGCATCTCTCCCTTTTTTTATTCCAACAATACAAGAAGAAATATGAAAAGTAAATTGGGTCTTCAATCAGAAATATCAAACTTCACATCAAAAAAGGGTCTAAGTAATCTCACTGACTGGAGTCATTTGAACCTGTTTACACAGACGCCTGAGTTCTCACAAAGGAAGCCATGAAAGTTAAAACGTTCACTCTTGTAGAAAGTGACACATCTTTGTTTAATGATAATATAAAGGCATTTGCTTCAAGTCAGTATCTATAGAAACACAAAACAATACCAACACTTGTTGGAGAAAATGCGAAGAGAAAAGAACAGGATATGGCCCAGCCACCTACTTAAAAAGTCCAAAGGTATTTCAGTATATCTACATTGACAAATTCATCAGCATGTGAACTATAAGTTAAAGCAATTTCCCACCTAATGCAATAAACTGATAATCACAGCAAGTAAAGTAAATTTGCTAATTACACATTTACGTGGAATTCAATTCGGATTTTGCCAAAATGAAATCTATCTTCAAGTTGATAAAATGCCTGGTACTTTCAAACAGGACAAGCCTGCCTGCCACAAAATAATGTACAAAATATCCCGCTCTTTATATAATTTACAAATGAATCATCTTAATAATTCTTATAACAAACCATCTATATAATTCTTATGACAAAATGCAGCACCTTGAAGTTCCAAACTTGCTGGAATATTATTTGAAGCCAAAATTTAATAAACAAGTTCAAATTTATCCCAGACAGAACGAATGAAACTGAAAAGACAGTTTCCAAAAAGATCCCACAAGGTACCTTATACATACATGTATCTGAGTTATGGTCATTTCTAATTAATTTCAATTTTATTTTTATTTCTAAATGGAACCATTCTTAAATGTATCCAATGTGCCTTTCATAAATTGTGCAATTCTGTATTTCAACATTAGATTGTAACTCTTTTTTTTTTTTTTGTACAAAAAATTCAATCATTCATTCAATTCTACTCGAAATTAATGAATAATTGCCAACCCCTCCCTTCTGCATCAATACAAGACCATGACTTTTCTCTTAACATTTTTTTCTACAGTTCTTGGCAAATTTGCATGAATCATTGCATTTTGCCAAGCAATTACCTTTCAGTACAAATCAGCACAATTGCCCGTCTGAATTGGCTTTTTTAAGCATCCACAACTGTGCTTTATGCACCCGTATCAAATTTGAATAAAAAGTCTCTGAAGAGCCATAATCTTAAGTAACATATATTCTCCAAAATGAGCAGCTACATGGGCAATGGAGTAGTGAACATCACAGTAAACCAACACGTATGCCCGTGATTGATCTGCGAGCCCGGGAGAAGCAATCATGCTGAGAACTGGGTACTGATTAGGGAAGGCTTCCAACACAAGATTTCCTGCACACGTAATTTAATTACTAATCATGGTTAGTGTGGAGAGAGAGAGAGAGAGAGAGAGAGAGAGAGGGAGAGGGAGAGAGGAAATTTTAATTTAAGCCTATCCAATGGTCAAATTCAGATTCACTAAAATGTACAGTTTTATAAGTTTTAATTTGTTCTTTTTCTCATCTATACAATATAATTACATATTTCTTCACCTTTTTTTCATATTTTTTTCATATTTTCCACTTTTCTCAAAGTACATCGACATTTAATTAATGCTGAGCAATACCAGTCACCAAAAGATTACAAAAACCTGTAAAGACAGCTTGGCAAGGTTTAAGGTATGTTTGACGTGATGCCAGTAACATACTGGTATGTTTTGTTTGCATGTATGTACGTGCTTTATGTTCTATTTTTCTGTAGTAACATGCCATGATCCAAATGCAGTTTCCACTGCTGGGCACAAAAATACTTCAAAATTAATCAAAATCTTTTAGACTGCACGAACTAAAATTTCCAATAGAATGACAGAATGGTCTGATTTCTGCTGCACATAAGGAGTAAAAACTTCCTACATTTTTTGCCGCGTCAATAACTGTTGCAATTAAATTTATCAGGGACATTATAAAAAAGATAAATGCCAGAATAAAAACTTACAGTCTTCTAAGCTGTCCCCGGAATAACTCCCAAACATGTCAAAAACTCCACGAACATGGAGTCCAAAAGTCAATGACCTTAAACTTCCACAAGTAACAACTGCCTCCTAAATAAACACACACATCAATGCACGCTGCTCCACAACAGATAGTTCTGCTCTATTAGACAATTGCTACTTTGTCTAATTTGTCAGTCCTCAGTTAGGAATATCAATTTAGCCATCAACCCACCCCAATCGTACCATCCATGTATGTGACGCCGTACACCTTTGTCGAGGATCACCATCATTAGTGGATGTTTATTATAAGCTCTCCATTTAGAACTGACAAAGCTGCTGAAGAGGGGCCGAGAGAGACTATTGATTGTCTGCGGGGAGGTGTTAATACAGGAATGGTAACGGCAATTAATATTACATAGTATCAGTAGTGGCTGGGTAGCACTGGGGTTGATGGCTGATCTTTTAAATGTTAGCCTCTCTCTTTCTCTCTCTCTCTCTCTCTCTCTCTCTCTCTCTCTCTCTCTCTCTCTCACACACACACACACACACACACACACAAATACAATTTTAAAAAAATTACAACTGTCACGTACACAATAAAACAAACCCAAACATACATACATACATATATGTACATATACACAGCCACATATAAATGGATGTCCATGTCAACATTCTGGCACCTAATATCGGATCATCTAAGAGCATTTTTGAAAAATAAAACTAACCAAATAAAACTGCCTCTCCACTCAAAGCTTGCAGCAAGACAGTTCTCAGAAGAGCAGTATCAAGTGGCCAAAATCACTTAAATTGCAAGATCAGAGTTGTTAATGCAGACATTCATAAATGAAACATTTTATGTATTTATTTGATAAAATGATGTTTCTTCTGTCATCTCATCTTCCTCAAGGACTGACCTTTCTGAAAATGAAGCATTTAAGACCGTTGTCCTACAGAGTAAGCTCAATTATCTATCATATACAAGGGAATTACCATGTCAGACATTACTGGGCAAAACCAATCTCGTATGGATTAATCGACAAAAGCAAATCAAAAGTACAAATACACTGTTTCTTTGTACTTCCACAAAATTCATTTCAAGCATTGAGAATCACACTGTCTCCCAGTGTGGTGCATATCAAGCTTTCATGAAATTTGCCATTTCCTAGAAGACTCCTGTTGGGAACCCTGGGATCTATACACAACAAAATCAACTAAGTGGAATAGTGTTCATTTGTGGTTGAGTGCATTTTGGGCTTTCCTTGGCACATTTAAAGAAATGGTCACATATATATGGTCCACTAGCAAAAAAAAAAAAATTATAAAACCCTTTGTTTTGAATAAAACTGTTCAAAACATTCAACTTCTGGGGTAGCGCTAACACTCCCCAATTTAGCCAAATGCTAAAACTTACTTAAATTGGCTAAAGAAAAAGGACTTGATCTGACTTGTTTTAGTCAAATTACAACATTTTGATAACAAATTGACAAAAAAGTGGTGATTTGGCTAAGCGAAAAAAATTGCTAGTGCTACCCCAAAACTTCATATAAAATATCTTGAAACCATTCAAACTAAATGCTTATAGTTCAAGAATGAATCTATATACAACGGGTACTTACTACTCAAACACCATGTACAGCATGCCATCAGAGCTGTACGTCTCCAGTAGCTCTACAATGTGTGGGTGCTTCAGCAGGTGACAGATTGTGGCTTCACGCTTCAGGTCTGAAAATTATGGCGAAATGTGGAAATAAGAGCGAAAACATGGATTTTTTTTTTTTTTTCAGCAAAAATGTTCATTAGCTTAGTGTAGTTGGATCATAAATGAAAATTATCAAACACAAGATGAAAAAGCTAACAAATAATTTTTTTTTTCACTTGTATCTGGTAATTTTCATTTAGCAAGTTTTTACATTCACGAAGAAACTCAGCAAAAGGATCGAGTCAAACAGTTGATTAGAAGTGTCAAAGAAAGAGAAAGAGAACTTTGGAGATCTATGGTCGTTCATAATCTGACAGAATAGGGCAGAGAAAGAGAGAGAGAGAGAGAGAGAGAGAGAGAGAAAAGTGTGTATCCTAGCTTTATTTTTTAAGGTCTCTACTCTCAAAGAACTCATGGTAAAGTACAAAAGTATATGGTATTGAAATGGAAGGGGCAGTTATAAGAAAACGGCTGTTCCTGTCTCAAATAGCGTGGACACACTCCTGGCTATATTAACATGCAAAGAATACATAGTTACAGAGCATAACCAAATTTCCTGCCATCTAACTTCCATACAAAGCTGTGTAATCGGGTTTCCTTGCCACAGCAGGGGGAGTTATGATGCTATTATCACAGAAATAATTCAATTTTGATAGGAAGCTGTTGTGAAGTTGGAAGTTTCATTACTGCGAAAATTCTTGTGACTACAGAGCTTGTCACTCAGATATTTCATTGAAAGACTGTTAAACAAAGTTTGAAACTGTAATGTCTGTATTGTGCATAGGGTATTACAGTGTGAAACAACAGGAAATTGCACTCATTCCTACAATCACTGGGCTTACTTTGCTCCTGGTAGTCTTAGTTAAATGCCACTCAAATGTTCAAAACTGGCCTAGGAGAAGATGACATATTTTTTGCTAAACTTAGCAAGGATTTCATTCACAACGACACAAGTGCACGTTCACACACACATACATAAACGCGCACACATTTTGCAATGGAGCTGCCCCTCTTTTCATCTTACACACACACATACACACACACACAAACATGCACATACACAAACATGCACACAAATACACACACACACATTTTTGCCATGGCACAGTACTCTGGCACTGTCCCTATGTGAGCAAGACCTTTTTTTTTTGCACATATTGCACGTGCATGCCCACACATTCCTACCTACCATCTGTACTGAGTCCAGGGCTACATGTAAATTTGGACACATCCACGATCTTTACAGCGAACTGCTGCTGGGACTCCTTGTGGACGCATCTCCTCACCACGCTGAACGGCCCTCTGTGGAATAAAACAAATTTAAAAACCATGAATCAAAATGGTCAGTAAGGCAAGTAACATACCAGTTACAACTTAAGTCGTCCACTAGAGGTAACACAGAAGAGAGTAACTATATCGAGATGCAATGGATGACGAGTAGCTGTAACTCATGGATGGCATTTCGAACAAAAGGATACTTCACTTGGAAAAGCAGTGAAGTGTATTAAAATACAGGCGAAATACAAGACTAGTGTAATTATCCCTCTGTTCAAAGCCCTTGCCATTGGAAAATATTAAACTTAAATTTAAGAAAGATTTGTCCCTGAAATACTGCAGTGAACTATTTTTGATTACTGACAGTCATACATTTTCAAATTCATTTGTGAATTTTTTTTTTTTTTTTTTTTTTTTGTAAATTACCTTTATTATTTTCCATCATTATATGTAATAAGGGAGTTTAATTTCAACAAAGGAAATGTACCTCCTGCCTGTGAGCTTTCATTTGCATGATATCAGCCCTGTTGCAATAACCCCAAGCAACGCTTTTACCAAGACAAATCCAAACAATCGAAAAGAGCCAAAGATGCATCTTATTTTCAGTGAACAGAAAAAGGTTAAAGGATTTAGAGGTAATGTCCAACAGGATTTCAATAAATCTTGGTTTTAATTTTAACCAGAAGACTGACCATTCTGCCGTGATGACAATGATGTTAGCAATCTACTGGGAGCAACCATTAGTTGCCACCCAGAGCAGCAGAAACACTGCTTCGTCAAACGTGCACGATCCTCTTCACAATGACGCCAACTTGGGCCCCATTCAAACAGACACCATTGGTATTTGTGGATAACAAAATAACCAATAACCAATCTTAGTTAAGGTAGCAGGTTTATGGATATATATTGTCTGTCACACTGCAAGATTAATAAAGGAGGGGGAAAAAACAAATGATCAGTGTCATAATTTCCAGCTCATTGCTCTATGGTGAATTTTCACAGCTGTCTGCCATGATACAACAGGTCTGGATTGATGATGCAATAATGTTCCACTAGCTTAATACCATTAGTCTCCAGAGACCTTCTAAAACATTGTCTCTTATTGAAATAATCAATCATTCTTCTAAAAAAACAAAATATACCAAAGTAGCCCTGCCAGGTATTGAGGCCAACTAATTATATTCTTACCTCAGCAAATAAGGCTAAACTAAACTGTCTGCTTAATCGATAAAGAAACTGGTAAAATGGTAATTTCCATTTTGTTACAGCAGAATAATTTATCTTTGAAACTGTGCAATAATGCATGCTTACACAATCTTCTAAGACTGCATTCCCACAGATTTTTAGATCGATCTATCCCCTGGGGGAGTCTCACTAGATTGGTGTCAGCTTAGCCGGCTTAAATGTCTGTCCCGCCTACTAAAAGCTGTAAGGGGATAATTAACTATAGTGCGCGCTCGGCTGACAGCAATTTAGCTTGAACCCCCAGTGAGTTAGGTCAATCCAGATGGATCGATCTAAATCTGTGGGAATGTAGTCTAAGAGTATTATACATTTATCACACTGTCTTATGATACTGAGTACGTTGTAAGATTATTAGAGCAAAACAAAATGCAGCTAAATAAAAAAACTGAACTATGAAATCCATATTTTTATTAACAAATAGATAATCTGTTATTTCATTATTTCACTAGTCCTTTACAGGCACAAATTAACTTAATTCTAGAGTAGGCACCACAAAATAACTTTTCTATGGAGTCCGTCTCAGTTTTAAGGTCTTTTAATATTGAAGTCTACACTAACTGAAGATAAATTGGCAATACCTACTAGTAGTCCAACTATATACTGTAGGAATATTGGGCTTGTTTCATAAATTACAGTAACATAATTAGTCCAGGTTTAGATGCAGTTATTTAATCCAAATTAAATAATCCACTATTCAATTATTATGGGCTGACATATAATTTTTTTTCAATATCAAAGATAAACAAGACCAACGTCAAACTTAAATTACTTATATAGAACCCATCCCTGAACTTGAAATATCAGAAATGCTGTGTGCTCTTTATGGTGACACTTAGTTGTCCACATTGCAGCAGTTGAGATGAGACCCTGAATGTGTTAGTTGAGACAGATGTGCTGCAGACCTTTATACCAGACATGGAAATATAGTACCTGATGACTTTTGATTGATAAACATGCATTAATGATTAATGATTAATGATACATAATTTTAACAAGATGTTTGCTGTTATTCTGGTTAACGTTAGTGCTAGAAAGATCTTCAAAAAAAGTAGATGGAAACATTACTTTCAATAGAGTTTCTTGCACTGCTGCCCTGCCCCCCCCCCTCCCCCCCCCCCGAAACTTCTTTAGAGTAAAATATCCTTTTTCAAAGTGTCATGGAAAAAATGACTGTGCTCACTCTATCTTGGTTTATTTTATCCAAATTTTAGCTAAACACATTCTTAAAAGCCCCCCAAAAAGTAAAATATTCCTACTCATGTGGTGCACAAACTCCAAAACTGTTCTAAAATTATTCAGGTACTTTGCAAATGGAAATGATCCCCCATATGTTCTGTATAAATTGAAGTCAATCATGTCAACATATCCCATATCTTCAACAAAGCACCTGTCATCACCGCCTCCACCATCCTGGTAACCACAAGAATACATTTCCGCAGATCAAGTTTTGTGCTTACTGTTACGTGTGTTGAGAAAAGAGCGGATTCACACTGGAGCAATAAGACCAGTTCAGAGGAAAATGATGTGGGGGCAGAGTAAATATGTAAAGACTGAAAACTCGTCAAAAGCTGCCTGCATGACCATATGCTACCTTAAGATAATGCTAGATCTTATCAAAATTTGCAGCAAAGCTGTAAGCATCTATCCTATTTCAGTAATGCAGAGCCAAAATCTGAGACTGGCCTCGTAAACTGCTTGATGTCTTGCTTACTAGCCAAACAGCTTAGGACAATGACTCAATTCTACACAACTAGGTGGACTACTGCTGAGCAGGAAACCATTTGATTACAACCAAATTCAATCAATGACTTCAGACTGTCAGCCACACATCTAACTTGAAAACTGTTTATAAACCCCTGCAGTGTGAAGGCAGATTAATTACAATTTACAATGAGTTCAGTTCACACATGTAAGCAGAATGCTTTTATCTCTTTTACGTGTGTGTGTGTGTGTGTGTGTGTGTGTGTGTGTGCGCGTGTGTGTGTGCATGTGCGTGCATTAATGTGAGAGAGAGAATACATACTAATACATAGCATGTTGATATTCCCCATTTTTGACCATAGCCTCTGCCTGGTTAAAAAATATCACCTTGAATTGGTCACGATTACGTCGTGTTTTATCAAATTACCTTGCAGGTAGTCAGGCAAAGGCATCATTACCACCACAGAGACAGCCTCTGTCACGAGGAAGGTAGGAAAGTACATGTCTACACCCCCTCAGCTCAGTCTGCTGATTTATTTATTCACTGAGGCTTCAAAAACTTCTTTCCATGCAATATAGAATTACTGTCAGTGCGATCTTCTCTCATACGGCAGGCTGCTTCTTTACATCATAATTATTTCTATTTGTATACTAGTGCATGTGACAGGAAATCTTCAGTGATCTTTTTCTCATTCTCAAGTTGTTAATACTGCTTTATACTGCGTGTGATGTGAATTTTCTCTCAATCTTTTTTCTCGCCCACTTCATACCTTCTACCAGCATATGTGAAGTTTTCCAATTTTTTTTTGCCATATACATATATATATATTATATATATATATACACTAGCTATGTAGCAAAACAGTGATGCAGAAATATATTTTTCTCATTAACAGCTGAATGTCACTCATTTTTCCTTGTTCCAATTATTATCATCACTACTATAATTATCACCATGACAACCATTAACACCATTATAATCCTATTTTTGCCAAATTCCAAAGTAGTCATCCTACTGTTTTTCCTCCAGATCTGCTTAGATTGCACATTAAGCAGCATGGGGTTGCCGTGCTTCATTTTCTACATATTAGTCCAGAAAAAGATTATTCATCTGTTGCTGTTGTTGATGCCAAATATTTCCATACAGTACATCTCTTGAGTATTGATAAGTAATGTTGCTAACTTCCATACAGATCTGCTAATATAGAACCTACTGTTTCACTGATTTAACAGGCAATAGAGTCCAGAAATGAGCATCAATTTTCTAATTCGTCTCCCATGAGGAAACAATAAACATACAGAATGCTTTAAATGCATATAAGTCCTACAACTTTTTCTCAATCAATATGTCTTCAATTTAGTTAGTAAGCTTGTATATCTAACTCTTATAAAATCCTTGTCTTTTTTTTTCCAAAATGTTCATCACATAAACTGTTTGGAATATCATCAGAATTTTCAATTTGTTACATCAAAATTTAATACAGAGATTGATTCTAAGAATATTTCCAATAAGAATGCAAAAAAATAATAATTAATTTCCTCCAAGCTTTCTCCCAAGGTTATTGTACCCTGCCAACCTTACTATGGTAATTTCTCAAAAATTTTGAATAAAATTAATATAGTATACATGAATTTTTTCAAACACAATTTTGTTTACAAATCCTATCATGCCGATCTTAAAAATGTACACAGTAAGTAGGAATCAAGTCTGAAAATTTCCATGCTGGCAACTACAAATTTTACGAAACATGCAAGAAAAAAGTATAAGAAGTGAGGAGTTGGGATTTTTAGAGTAGTTGTTGTAGCTTCTGAGGAATCAATACATTCTAAGTGTTCTTCAAACCCTAACGCACTGCAAGAGGAGACTGTTAATAAGGTAATAAACTGTGTCCACGCTGCGAGCATTTTAGGGCTACACTTTTTTCTCTAAGAAAGGATGAACACTGTAATGTCATTATATCTAAGAGATTATTTGTTTGTAGTTTCTCAAGGCATAGAAAGTAGACTGTCAATGCTTTTAAGTCTAAAATATGGTTAATGAGTACTTTCCAAGGTCATGCTGATAACGTGCTGTTTCATGC